CCCTACACTCCTTGTTTCAACTTTCCCCCAAGACTTTTTAGCAATCATGGTAAGCCAAACGGTTCATTCTGCAAACCTACAGTTTTCAACGTTAAGATAAACTGTTAACATCAGTCTCCCATTAGAAAAGTATGTTATCACAAAAATTAATGGTTTTGAAAACAAAGAGCCGTGGGACATTAGCTTAAACCAAAACAATAATAAAAACGCGCACAGAAACAGAGAGTGGATTGATGTAAAGGAAGGCCACTCATACCTTACTTTTCTTTGACCATGACAACCATAGCAGTGAGTGTGACATGGACAGCCACTTCCCCTATGGTGGGCCTCACCGCCTCACCATTTGTCAGAAACCAACACTCCAGTAGATATGCCGGATTATCTATAAGAAGTGCTTCTGCGGCAACAAAGATTCTTTCTCAAGTTCTTCCGAGGTTGACCCACGTCATGACCAAGTCCGGTTTGCCACCCACCCTACTGCTTCAAGCAATCCCACCTCTCTGCAGCAAAAAGTGACATTTCATTTTTGGGTCCTGCTACTTTTGTGTCATTTTGTAGTTTCCTTCTACATGAAAACTTTCTCTAACCAAAACATATTGTGGCATGTGTAACATATATTCTGTGATGCGTTTTAATGACTACGTAAATATCCTTTTGATATTTCAGCAGTTTTATTGATAGATTTGGTCTTCAAAACATTTTGATTAAAAAAAGATCTTGATAACCAGTGTTCCCATTTTATCTTTCCAATTGAGATAACAGAATCATATAATTTATCGTCATGATGGAACATTACCAGGATTGTTTTTAGAGTTATGTTATTCATACAACAGCTCGTTCAACATTTCATACAATTAGCATTTTCTGTTTTTAGTTTTCTTTCTTGCACCATTTATTACATCTCATACTTCTCTTTATCTTCTCTCTTTCTTTTAGTTGTAAAATTTGTTGTATGAGTCGTTGTACAAGTAACATTTCTCTTGTTCATGTAAATATATCTTTTTTCTTCGTTCTTTCCTATATAATTATCTGCAGCTATGTTTTCTTTTCAGAATTTCAAAAGAAATGAAAAGTGAATGGTATTGTGAAAATGTTGTGAAATGCTGTAAACAGAAGAATCCTATAATTGAATCAACTTTAGACAGTGAGGCCAAAAACTGGCCTGCAATAAGTTTCCACTACACAATAGGGAAGCAATCACATGTATCAACAGTCTTCTCAGAAAAAGAGAGACTAGGGAATAACAAATATTGTTAAGAAATTCTTGCACTTGGAAGTTGAGAATTTTTCTTGAAAGTGGATTTATGCTTAGTTATTGGCTCACACTGGTTTAAGTTCTTAATATCTGTTGACTCGTGAAATGATGTTAAACTTTATGACTCTCAAAGACAACTGATTTACTGAATGAGAAATGTTTTCATCGGATAGTAAGAAGTAAGAACATGAGAATTCTCTTAGTACTTTGTTATTAGAACAAAACATGAATAATTGCTTATATATGCCCTTCTTTGTCAAGCAAATTTTTTGGGGTAAGTCCAACTAGCTAGTGCGTCAATGTTGAAGCAGTTCAGAACTTGAGAAACACTAAGAAAAGTTAAAAATAAAAATAAACACTTTTTTTTGGTAAAGAGACAATGTGTATCTCTCAATTTCCTATATCGAGCAGTTTTCTCAAAGCAGTTGGACCTTGTGGCCAACTGAGTTCGGAAACTAAACTTGAACACTAAGGTCTTTGGATGTGATGGAGGTCAGTTGGTCAAACTGTAAGATATTTCATCTTGTTCTACTAAAACAATTGATCATGACAAGCAGAATCTAGACTATGCAGGGTGTTATGTCATATCAAGACATGAAGCATCAATAAGATGCATATACAAAAGTCATCGACTATTGTAGGATGCTTTTTCCACTTTCAAGTGAGGACATCAAGTTAATGGCTCCCTCTTCAGAAAAATGGTCTCTTATCGCAAAAAGAGGAAATTGCTCCAGCCACAATATTTCCTACTGTCGTTATGTTTTCTCATACTGACCATCAATTCAGTTTGCTTTGAATTTATAAATACCTTGCTTCAGTGCTTGGTATCAACAGCATATCAGTTTCAACAGCTAAAAGCGATCCACAGAAATTTAACGATAATAATCAATCCCGAAAGATGCTGACTGTTTTGCTGAGACTGGGGGTCAGTAATTCAACTGATACCACCGGCAATTTACAAAGAATCTGGCCTAGCATTTGAAATAGACAAAGTGAAACAAAAAAACAAGTTGTGGAATAGGACTAATTCATGTCTTTGTAGTGAATATTTCTGGCCATTAGTACTTTGATTTTCACAGGCAAGGTAAAGACTAAACTTGAACTTAGTTCATTGTGACCAATTTTATACATTCGTTCGCAAGATCTAATGAAGCTTAACTTTTTAAGTTATCATAAATTAGAAATTAATTTCAGCATCTGGCTCAAAACAATTCTCATTTCAAATTATTCAACCAGACACTTTATGCCATCCTTCTGGTCCTCTTCCTGAATTTTTGCTATGCTAACAAATGTGCAATTGTTCCTCCTTTACAAACCTAAGAAATCCAAATACAAGATGGGAAAAATACGGATGATTCATTTGAATCAAAGATGACATAACAGTCAGGTCTCTTCCAATATTCTTTTTTGTTTCAATCACAAGTCACGAAATATTTTTCACTTGGAATAAGGGAATAATAAACAGCTCTGGAAAAAAAAATCTGATAAATCCTAAAATTACAGAATTCTATAGGAGTTGAAAAGAGGCACATTACATTAGGGGTGCATCAGCAAATACCTCAGCCAGCATGCTATCATCACTGCCTACCATGGCAAGCAGTTCTGCTTCCTTCTCTTCCTCATTGGAAAAGTCTCGTCTTTCAAGCTTGGCATGAGCCGCAATATATATCATTTTCTGAGCTCTTTCCAAGGAAACTCTCGAGTGCTTATGTTCAGAAATCTTCCTGATGAAAGTACAATTACTCTTAAATCCACACGAGGTTGCATGCAGAAAAATGAGCCTCACTGCAAGCTTCCCCAGGGATTTAAACTCGCTGAGGCAAGTTTCCCAAACAAGTCTACTACTGAGTGGATTTACAACTTTCATCTTCCCAGTAACCGGGTCTCGTTGTTTCATCTGCACAGCCTGAGCATAAAGGGGGTCAAGCCCTTCTGATCTCCACTTCATGAGCTCCATCAACACAACATGAGCTTCTTCTCGTGAAGCTAGTCTAGTCAATAACTTATCTACATCTTTCTCTTGTTCACGAGTTAAGCACTTGAATGGAGGAAGGTACTTTCCGTTTGCATCTTTAACCAAGTAAAGTGGATCAAGTATAAATGCAGCAGACCATGCAGGGTGATAATTCTTTCGGAACCGTTTCTCAAGTATTTTCTCCACGGGTTCTTCCACAACACTGTACTTGGCACACCACTCCTTCACCTTGGTTCTAACCTCCTCCCAGAGCGGCAGGCACCGACCAATCAACGGCCTCTCCGACTCAATATCCTGAACCACTCCTCTGATGAGTTTCACCAGCGAATAAACCGCCTCCAGTTCATTCCAAAACCCCTCACTCTGAACAATTCCAGCAACCTCTCTGGCCAGTGGATCCTCCATGCATGCCACCTTAAAAGTATCTTCCAACACCACCATTTGGATCACCGCAGCACAGCTCAGGATGTCCTCCAGCATCGGAAACACAGATGCGAAGTCCTTCAACACGCGACATTTCGGCGAGGGAACTCGAACCAGCCCAGCACAGTCCAGCTCCTGCATCCGGTACCTGAGAAAACTACTCCTAACCTGAGACTCAGTGTTGATAAAATTAGCAACCTTGAGAGAATTCTCAGCAACAACCCTGAAAAGTGGGAGCTCGTTGCTGAAATCCTTGATCAAAGCCATGAATCCCTGAAGCTGACAAGCAACATTAACCATCCAATGATTCTGAACCTCCAAGTTCCTCAACGCCTTGGCCTTAAACCTGTCCCCAACAATCCCCACACACCTCTTCACATCACTCCCACAAACACCCCTCACCACCTCCCACAAAATCTCCTCAGCATACTTGGAAGACACCACCACTCCTCCGCCGGAAAACACCACCTTGTGGAACACGCTACACCCATTGGGAAGATTCACCGTGAACTTCACCACACCATCCTCAGCCTTCCAACCATCACAGCCTACTTGGAAAAAAAGGGCATCTCTGATTCTAGCTTCGGACTCAGCCTTGGCCACTCCGAACCTATCATCGAGCCTAGAACCATATATCTCGCGCCTCAACAGAGCGAGGGGCAAACCCAGCTGGGTAAGAAAAGATTGAAACTTGGGGTGTTCGAGTGCAGAGAGAGGCACAGAGCCGCAAGACTCGTAGAACCAGTCTGCTAACAACTCAAGGGCGGAGTTAACCTGGTCCTTGGTCAACTCAGGAGGAGCAACATTTGAGGAATTACGAGGACTCTTGAGCTTCTTGACACTGTCTTCGAAAACAGCGAGAGCGCACAAATCGTCCTTGCCACCGGACAAGACCAAATGGTGAAGGGAAGGGTCCTGATTGGGAGACGTTGAGGTTCTCTTTCTACCGTTGTTGGAATGGGAGAGAACGGTGGAAATGGGAGAAGGCGAAGGCAACGAGGAGTGGTTGAAATTGGGGCACGTGCCGCGCTTGAGGTGCTCGGAAGCGGTGCGGGAAGGGTTGGAGGCGGAGAAGAGAGAGTCGCAGAGGGAGCACTTGAGCTTCACGGCGTTGTTCACGAGAATGGGCTCCAGGTGGGCCCAGTACCAGGCGCCTTTGCCCTTGATGGCGCGCGTGCGGACTGTGAGGAGGCCCTCGTAGCGCTTCCGCACCGCCCTGGCCGCCGCGTCGTCCGGGTGGAGGTCGGCGGTGGCGGTGGAGGTGGAGGTGGAGGCCATTGCTGAGGCTAGCCCCGCCACGGGAGCTGCATGAAGGTGTTTGAGGAATTGCGCGAATGAAAACGAATGGGGGTTTAGTTCGTTTTGGTTTATATAGGACAATTCGATGCATGGCATGGAATGGAAATCAGCTCCAGGACCCTTGCCACGTGTCTTTTTCGTCCAGATCATACGGAATGACTCACGAGTCAACCTTTTTTGTATTTTGTATTTTTTTCCAACCCATGCATGCCTCTCGCCCAGTGTTTTAAAACCCGGCCGGTCGGACCAGTTGAACCGGAAACCGGTGGTCCAGCTGGTCCGAATCTGAAGTTGGATCGGTTATGCAGTCGACCCTTTTCAAATCGGATTGAACCGATTAATTTTTCGGTTCAACCGGTGAACCGATGGGTCAAACCGGTTCAATCACTTTTTTTTTTTTTTTAAGGGACCATAAATCACAAAAATAATAATGAAAATTGAATCTCTTAATGAAAAAGTAAGAAGTCTTATTAAATATAACAATGACTACTTGTTCTAATATATTTGTTTGCAATATATACAACTTAAATAACTTTTATAGTATATTATTAATTTTAAATTATATATTTAATAATGCAATATCTATGTAAATATTACATATATTATTTTGTGATATTAATTGCAAGCATATTATATATGTACATATTATTTATATTTTTAATTTGTATTAATATACCGTTTAACATGTAATTTTTTTATGTATTTTTTTACAAAATAAAAATAAAAATAATTTTAAATAAGATAGAAAAATTTAAATTTAAAATAAGATATGAATTTATTAAAATTTATAAGTATAAATATATTTAATATGAATATTTTTTAATAAAAATAAATAAAAATCGAGTCATGCGGTTCAACCAATGACCCACCGGTTCAATCTTTGACCTACTGACCCAATACCTTAACCGATTCGATGACCGGTCCAGTTTTTAAAACTATGCTGTCACCCCTCTTCTACTGCTACACCATAATTTACTTTTCATATCCTAACTAAACTTTATTTCATTCTAATTCTCCTAATACTATTTTCTTCTTTTTTTTTACAAATAATGTGTTAAATTTCGTTGATAGAAAGTTTTAAGTCAATAAGAAAATACAAGAGTTTACTTAATTGTTAAACAACATGTTGGAATTGTTGCTATAAGTCTCCTAATACCGTGTTTGGTTGTTATAAATTAAACAATAAAAAAATCAAGTAGAAGATGTCATAAAATGGTCTAAGTTTTTATTTTTATCCATATAAAATGGTGCAATTACATTTATTGAAAAAATATATTTTAAAATATAATTAGAATCATTTAATTTAAAACAATGATATTTTTAATAATAAAAGAAAATATATTATGCACCACAATTTAAAATTATTTTATATTATCCTTCAATATGAACTCTTATAATAATTATTTTAAAAATCATATCAATAATATTTTTATTAATTGATACATTGACAATACATAATAACTATTAAGTCTAATAATAAATGATAGACCGAACCAAATATAAAAAAGAATCAAGTTAATTGTCTAAAACAATATATATTTAATATTACTATTTATACAACTTTTATCATTAATAAATTTAACATAACGATAATTAACATTTATTTACTTTTAAATATAGTTTGAATATCATTGAAAAAGAGTATTTATTTTTTTTATAATGTCTCGATTTTTATTAAAGCTTGTTTTAAATCTAGAAATATGGTGAATTTCCAATATAAATAATTTATTTTTTGATAAAAATAGAAGAGACTTATTGAACTCGTGCTCTATTACAAAATATTTAAAATTCTCACTACAAGTAATCATCATGATTTTTCATAAGCATGTAATTACACAACACTACAAATTCTCAATTTTTAATATAATCATACATTTACTGTCATCTCATTCCAACACATAAGTAATATCACGAAATCTCCAACTTTTCCATAATGTTTAACATAGTATCTCAACTGAAATAATACTATACTAATAACAATATAGATCAACATATCAAATACAAAAGAAAATACAATTATCCTACTAACACCTGTATGTAAACACCACAACAAACACTTTATAGTCTACAACATATCAACACAACAAAAGCACTCCAACATGACATTCAATGTTTTGCAAGAGTTAGTAATTCAATTACATATGAACATTCATATTTCACTACATCAATGTCAATCAACAACATTCTTAACCAAATATATAGACAACATTTAATAACACTCAATCATATGTATACACCTCAATTAATACGTCGTCATATATTCACCTATAAAAATTTCTTACACATTTGAGCAGTCTAAGTGATTTGACCCTATCGAATCAACCTTCAAATTCGAAGAGAATGAGAAGGAAGAACGAAGAAATCAAGCATTGGGGAAACTCCACATAGAACTACCATCACTCGATTCTCAACCTTCTGAGTCTTGAATCTCTGCACCACTCCTACAATTGAGCTATGGGAAAGATCACAACAATCTAAAGAGGCCTCGAAAAAAGAAAGATTCTCTCAAGCTCCAAAACTCCTCTCTTTAATGTATTCTCTCTACAATATTCTAGAATTATGAATTTGTAAGCTTCATTCCTTAAAATTCAACTTATATATCTCAGTTCTTTCCGATCAATTCTCACACACTTGAATTATAACAACAAAATAATACAAAATAAAATACTTAATTACATTTATTTATGTAATAATAATTAAAAAATATATGTTATTCCGATAAATATTATTTTAATTCTCACCATTACGTCAATCTTAATAATTCATGTATCTTAATCAGAAAAGATTGAGTTTAAATTAAAAATAATAATTTTATCAATTTTCAGATCAACAAAATAAAAACTCATGTAAACCCGCCCTACTAATACTCCTCGTGATAACTATTAAGTTAGCGTAAAAATGGTGTTTATTAGCTAATGCTCTGCACAACCATTCTCCTAAGTTTGTTTGGTCACGTTTTCAAAATTTTATTTAACGTTGATATGATGACATGATGATGATCCTCTCGCTCCTCTCCAACTTGAAGCTAAACGCGACTTTCAATTTTCAATGCCATTCAACTTTTCGGAGAGAGAAAGGTAGAAGATGACAATTTAAGTAATTAAGTTGATGGATCTTCAAATTAATTGTTGATTCCGGAAGTTTTTAATGATTCATTTTCTTTTTATTTCATTAAGCCCAAGGCATTATGTTTTGGTTTCTTATTTTGATTTGACTGCTTGGACCCTTAGTCTCATTCATGATGCACACTAACAACTTGATGGAAAAATGTGACCACTTTCTTTTTCAAAAGTCATTTTATATTCATAACAATTTTTTTCTTTGCATGTGAATTGTTTTTAATTGATTTAATTAATTATTTGACATGTACTATATTTATCCACATTTTACATTTTAGTTTTATATTTAAAAACTCAAACTCTAATTTATATATGAGTAAAAAAATTATATTTTATCTTTGTGGTTAATTATTAAGTAACTCCATTCTCGAAAATCACGCACTAAATTAAAATTGTGGTGTAAATTCAGCCGAGTTTTTTTTTTAAAATACGAATTATAAAAAGTTTATATTATATTAATTTTAATGTTATTAATTTTTTTGATTAATTTAATAATTTTAATATATGATTTATTTTGATGATGTTTTAACCTAATAGTAAATTTTAAGATAAAATCATGAAATTAAAAATTATTGAATCATATAATAGCTTATGTAAATACGATTATAACATACAAGAGGTATATCTACTGGAATGTTTTTAATGAGAGAACGAGAAGAGTAAAACTAAGTCAAATAATTAAAATTTTAATATGATCACTTTAAATAATTGTGTGACTTCTGTTTTTTTTTTTTTAAAAACCATATTATACACACATGGGTGTTTGTCCGAATGTCCTTTTATGTTTTTTAGTTAACTTATCAGCCAATATTATATTAAACACTTTTAACTCATCAAGTTGTTTTACACTCTTTTAATTTAAGTGGTATTAGATTCAATCTTTTAAAGTAAAGTTTTAAATTTAATTTTTATATGTATGAAAAAAATGTGATTAGAATGAAAGATTTCATTAAAGAATCAATCAAGTTCATCGATAAAACTTAGTCATTAATGAAGTTAATAAATATTTTATACTAATGACATAGTTGTCTAAAATAAGCTGGTTTGTATCATATACACATATAAAATTCATCTTATTCCTTTGGTATGTCTAATAAAATTGTAATAAATGTTTGCAACACACATTTCTTATAAATTTAATATATCTCATTTCTTATTTAATAAGTCTTATTTATAGTTTTGAGTCTATTCAAACAAATTTCTCTATAAATACTTTTAAGAGAGAAAAATAAAAAAATAAAATTATCCATAAACTAAAATTAGTTTATGTATAAGTAAATTTGTAGAAGCTTTGTTATATAACTTCTTCATAAAATTATAAATTAGTTTATACAAATTAATTTTAACTTTTTATGGAGAAATTTATTTCATTTTCCTTTTCCTAGATTAGCTTCTAAAGAAATTTATTCAAATAGAAACTTTACAATTAAACCTTTACAATTAATGAACTTTTAACTAAGAGGAGTGAACATATTCTTTTTCTACAACTCTTGCATTGATTAAAAATTATTTAAAACTGTAAAATCTTAAGTAGAGTTCATTAAATAAGGAACAAGATGGACATAATTGTGTAATTTCTACAAATTTTAATTTATAATAAAATATATTAAAAGAAATATGTTAGAAAATATCATAATTTTAAAAATTAGACTAAACAAGCAATTTTAATCGATTTGATTGACGAAAAAAATTATTTTCCAATAAACTAGTAAAAAGTTATAGTTTGAACGGATTCAATTTAAAAAAATATAATTTGAAATTTAAAATTTAAAATATTTTTAATAGAAACACATATTTAGTTAAAATTATAAATTAGAATAACTTATTTTAATAATTATCTTATAAATATAATTTAATCATTTATGTTAATTTATAATTTTTAATATATTTATTTTTGTTATAATTTATATTATATTAATTTAATATTTTT